TATGTTGTCTTAAAGGTTGTTTTTCCTCAATCTTAGAGGTATGGCTGTTGGGATTGGGATTTCAGTCAGTCGACCACATTGATGCAGACCAATTAAGAACTCAAATAGATTGCCATGAAGTGATGCTACGATATTCATAGATCCTAGGGGATAAATCCCACAAAAATGTGAATTTTCCCTACCAACATTTGGTTGACAATTGGGGTTTCACCAGCTCCTGGACAGATTGCCATGAGGCTTTCTATCAGTGATTAATCGTTAGGCTTACTTGGGCTGCATCTCACTTCGGTTAAATGCAATCCTTGCGTCCCTGACTTGCGTATTTTCCGTCTTAGTCCCTCCCACCTGGGAAGCATGGAGGGACGCAAGGAAACCACGAGAAGGGAGAAGAAGCAGGGAAATTAGTTTTAAGAGCAATAGTGACGTCCTTGGTCCTTTCCTCCGGAGCGCCACGTGAAGCGACGTCCGTTTGTGATGACGCCGCACAGATCGTCTGACAGCAGCCAGCTCTGTCCCCCTTATTTTCACAAACACCCCCGCCTCTGTTAGCACACATTTACTGACATAAACATTTCTATCATCTGTTGTAGACCCAAATAAATAAAATAAAATAAGAACTCAATCTCAAAAAAGATAAACGCCATTCTTAAAATTGATAAACGAACGTTTGATTAATATTGATTTGAGTGCACAATAGAAATAAAATAATTGTTAGAAGAAAAAGAGATATGTTTTCTATCAAAACCCAGTTAGATTAACATTCATTGGATTGCACACTGTGTTTGTTTGTGTGGATATGTAGCAAATTAACATTTTAAAAATAGTACTGACTGTAACTGACTGAATGGAAATGACAATACATGAAAATGTAAAACGAAAAAAGCGATCATGAAAAATGTTTCCAATAAATGAATAAAATGATTTTTGACCACTTTGTTCTTAAGATATATCACATATTTGTAACTAAATGATACATTAATTGAAACAAAACACTGTATAAACTGAGGAGTGACTCCCGTGAGGTTCATGTGTTTTCTTCACTCCGCTGGGAAACTGCTCTCATGTTAAGAACAAGTTAAGAAGCAACAGATCAGTGCATGGGCTGCATCGTCCAATCAGTCAGCGATACATGGTAAGGGGGCGGGGCGAGTGTCTGAGGACAGAATGTTTTTGGGATGTTCACAAAGACGTAAAACTCCAAGCAATTAAGTACAAGATTTGAGAAAAAAAAAAAGATACAAATATATTATTTCTGTGCCTAGTGTCTTTTCATCTTCTGTTTTGTTGATGTGCTATGTTTTTCAAGAGTATAAGTGGAGCAGAGTGGACCCAAATGCAGGACACAGAAGCACCTATACCTTATTCAAGGCTACATTTGAAATAGCAAGGCCAGAACAGAACAGAACTTACCTTCATTACAAACAGCATCATACAAGGATCTGCTAGAGGCCAACAGAAAAGCAGGACGAGCATGATAAGGGGATAGAGGGCAGGTTTGTAGGAGGTCATGTGATTGAAGGGCTGATGGGGACAGGTGAAACTAATAAGGCCAGGACAGACAATCAAACAGGAGAGAAAACACAGGAATAAAACAGGAAACGCACAAACCAAGATCTTGAAAATGCAAAATGGATATAGAGGATGGGATCAGCGTTGGACAAAAAGTGAGAATTTAACCGAGAATGGTAAAAACCTCCAGTTACAAGCCACAAAATAACTGCTAAGCTATGCCCTGCAATGATAGTCTTCCTCAATGACGACCACTTAATTTAAACGGTCAGTCACTAGGTACAAAGCCCTCCTGCTGTCTAATAAATGACAGCAACATGCTAAGAATAATACAGGATTAAAATACACAGGGGCCTATGGAATAGTGGATAGGTTGTTACCCTAACTGCAGGAATGACAATCAGCCCCGTGAGTTCAGCATAGATGAGCTTATGGCTGAAAGGTTCTGTTCCATTATTTTAATGCAGGAGTAGTTTGGATTGGTTTTGGTATAACAGGGAAAAGAGCTAAGGAATATGTTTCATCATGTCATCACTTTAAAAAAAAAAGAAGAAAGTACAGAATCCGAACGTACTGTATTTATCTCCCTCTGTGTTTTGAAAAAGATTGAATATAGTGCACTTATTAAAAGAAGGCTATTTCTGTCTTTCAGTCTTTTTTGTTTTGTTTGATGGCTTGTAACTAAAGGTTTTGCATCATCATCTGTCCATTTTGGATTTTTCATCCAACTCTGAGGACCTTTTTCGATTTCAATTGTGCACAATACAGTACATAAACAACACACTCGAGTGATTTTAATAGGCACGTTGGCAGTTTGAAGTATACTTGATGCAGTCAATTATCGAGTGTGACACACAAATACATTGTTAAAACAAGTCTGGGACACAGTTAAAGAGGGCCCATTATGCTTTTGGGGTTTTCCCTTTCTTGTAGTGTGTTAAATATGTGTGTGCATGTTAATGGTCTGCAAAGACTAAAATCTCAAAGTATATACAGTATGAGGGAGTTTCTCTTCTGCAGGAGTGCTATGCTTTAACTGACTTGACCTTTGACCTCCCTTCAGAGAGATGCCAGCCTAAATAGATTTCTGATGCAGGAATCAATAAAGTATCACTTTGTCTAGTTTTTGACTGCATGAAAGCAAACCAAAATAGAACAAAGACACCAAGAAGCGTTTGATAGTGGCTATTTTTATACACTGATGACATGTCACCTTACTGTTTGTAACCCTGGATGTTCTTTTTTTATTGTCTAAATGCATGAAACCGGAGACAGTGCGGCTGGTGTTGAGGTTTGTGCGATTGCAAATGAGTGTTGTAGCTTCTACAGTTTATAAAGCACCTGGAGTCCACCAGCAGCCTGAGAACATATTAGAGCAAGAGAGAGGGTATGGACTCCCATTTCACTGCAAATAAATGCGATTGAATTTCACACAAGCACTTACTGTACGTGGAGTGCGGATGGATGGAATTGCGTTTGAGAGCAAAGACACATGTCTCATGAGTACCGTGTAATCTACTTGAATCCACGAGGCGCCTTTTTGCAATAATGGAATTTACGTGTGGGTCTCACTTTAGTGAAAAAGAGTCAGTTTCAGCATTCTTCCGTTCAAAATATACAGCGTATGACTCACCTAGGAGTTATGCAATCAATTTCTGACAAATCCAGGAGTTTTGCAGATTCAAGGTCAATGACCAAAGAAAATAGTCTTGCCACAAACAAGATCAATAACACTGGGAAAATCGGATTATTTACGATAAAGACGAATGCCAGCAGTCTAAAGATAACCAGCAAAAACTCATTGAAAACCTGAATAGATAGTGAAGTTCATGTTCTCCTCTGTGGTCGATAAAGTTGATCTTATCTTCTATCTTATCCAGACCAGATTGCTTTCAGTCAACAGTTAGCATTGATGAAAAGGTGATATCGATCAAAACACAGATTTTTGACTATTTAAAAGGACCACATATACACAACCACGGTTCATTCTCTATTATTTGAACTCAAAAGCAAAATATGGACTCCAACCAATGTAGGAACATTGGGTTTTGGAAATTGGATGGTAAACAGAGGAATAGAAATTGCCTGAAAAAAGCACATGTGTGGATGAAATACTGGGGCTTATAGAAATGTTGGACATTTCTATTTACAGTGCTCTGAACATCGGTTTTGAAAAACTCTTTAGAGTAAGGTATACCAACAAAATAACTAGGACAACAGTTGAGGAAATACACAACTGAGCAAATGTGTAGAATATATATTTCTTGTTAAATTGCTTTCAGACCTTCAAAAGGGTTTTTATGGCGGTCTTTTTGATTCCTTAGAGTTTTGAACACCTATTATTGACTGCTCCTCAGATGCAAGACATCCTTCACGTGATGCGTTGATGATGGCCACAAGCACATTAAACCAAAGTATAGATTTCCACATCGATGTGTACGCTATCCCTTACTCCCAAGTAAGAAAAGGAGCCTTTGAACGTGAAGGCAACATTTGCTGTTTTTTCAAACATCTGCTACCACTGCAAGGGCCCCATCTGGGATTTAAAAAATCTTGTATGTGGTGGTTTAGATACAAATCTGCAATCTAGGGCGTTTTGCTGTGAGTGGAACGACCTATTCCGTTTTTAGATTACACATTTTTACATTTGTTACTAGAATCATTCAAGCAAAAACCATAATCTCAGTCAATATCTACATCTTCATGGATATTGAACCGTGAAATACTGGCACAGAAATATGGGAACAGGAGCAGATGGGGAAGGTTTATTGGTAATCAGGAGAGGACTTTAGGGGCAGTGTTGCTGAAAGGAAGAGATTTGAAAGAGGCCTTGCTGTTCAGCGAGTACGGAAAAGAGAAAAGACAGTTAATATATTCATAGGCTCAAAACATCATCTCTGTTTGAGTGCAGCATATTTCCCATATTGTCTTCCCTTTACAAGAGAGTTCTTTGGTTTGTTTACCATACGTCCAATGTGCCTCTAGCAGCTCTTTGTAAAGTAGGGACTAATAAAGGACATCCATGTTTGTATGCACTTTTCATGACCGTGTATACATTGAGCTATGTGGTAGCTGTGCCAGTGTATATGTAATGGAACACAAGGTTATATTGAATCCCTGAACCTATATCAGCACTCAATTACGATGATGGAAAGGGTCTCGATTTGTTTTTTCGTTGTGATTTTTGTACTGGTTTAAAGTGGGTGTACATCAATTGGCAAAATGTGATCTAACGTACTTCCATGTACCAATCACAATGTAGCAATAATTTAATCGCCATGACAGCTGTGAGCTTGTGTTCTCATGTTGCCAGGACTGTCAACTGAATCTGATTAATCCACGCCTGCACAATCGTGATGAAGCAGAAGTTATCAGAGGCTTTTAAACTTGGATATCAACTGTACAATTGTGAGTCACTCTTGCAGTGAATTATAAATGCAGCGCACTTGTGTAACGGTTCTCTGTCTCTTTCTCTCTCCATCTGTCTGTAGCCATGGGAGTGCTCATGTCAAAGAAGCAGCAGGTGGAGAAGGTGCAGAAATGCAACGCTGTGGTCTTTGCCTTCCAGTCGGGCATTAAGGACCGCCCTGCCCCCGCCAAAAATTCGGACGACGAAGAAGAGGAAGGCGAAGCCAAAGCAAAACCTTCGGCCAATGCTGATGACAATACCACAGAGGAGGCGGAGCCAGAGGACACGGACAATAACCCAGGTCCGTCCACCTCGCAGCCGGCCAAGGACGACTGCAAGGTCAACCAGGAGTCTTGGTCCAGGTTACGGGACGGGAAAGGAGTGGAACCGGAAGATCTCGACAAGACCCATCAGCTCACGCCACCTGCTTTCGTTCGGCCCAAAAGGGAAGCCGATGACGACCAGCCCGTAGAGGTGGAGCTGAAAAAGAAAGAGCAGGTAATATCTGAGCCTAAAGGTCCCCTATTATACTGTTTTCATCAATATATTAAAGGTCTTGCAGATCATGCATTGTAGCATCCCATAAACCCCTCTGTTTCAGCCCTGTTTCAAAAGTACTGATTCTCTGTCTGTTACTTTAGATGAAAACAAGGAGCCACTCCCCACGCCCCTCTGAGAGATATGTGGGGTAAAAATAACACAATGGTGCTCTAGGAGGAAATTCGTGTGAATCATGTGGAGGGGGTGATACCCTGGTTGGTGATTGGCTAATGGTTACACAAGCCAAAACATCGTTATGACATCAGAAAGTGGCCAAAATCAGATCAGCTCATTTTCAGACCGATTTCTTTTTCGTTTTTCCTGAAACTTTCAGAATCTCTTTACACATAGGGGACACATAATAGGTGACCCTTAAATAGGGATGTGGGTAATCATAGCCAGGATGTTATTTAAGTTATATATCACATAATACTTTTTACCTTACCAAAACAGACACTATAAATCCCAAAATCCTGGGATTAAAGAGACAGAATCTCCATGGCAACAGCAGAGCATTATCTTTTCCTTCTTTCAGGTTAGGCATTATGATAAAGCTGGCTGTAAAGGGACTATTTATCTAAACACCCTTGTTGAAGGTGAGAAAGCATTAGTATAACGTTTTTATTTTCTGTTAAGCCTTTCATTTGTTATTTACGGGTTGTGCATGAGGGCTCTTCACAGCGAGCCTCCTGTGGGCGGGATGCTCCGGCTGCCTCAGAGAGGTGACCTTATCCTGGGCGGCGCTTACAAGCAGGGTATGGAGTTCATAGGAGGAACGACTCCATTAGGTTTCTGTATTTTGCAAAGAGTAAACACTGCCTGCTGAATACTCGCTGTACTGCCGATGCTGCACTTTTACAAGAGGTACAGACATAGAAAGGTCCACAGAACCCCCCAAATAAAATAATAGATATGTACTTGGGAGTTTCGAACGAGCTGAAATGTAATGTAAAATGATGTGTAGACCACAGTAAGTAAAGGAATATGGATGGTTATGTTATTCTCTTCCTCTTGGTAGGTGGATATTTCTGTTATAGCAAAACTAAAACCTAGAAAAGCAAACTAAATTGGTTTGAAGTTGTTTACTTTCTGTTAAATTGCAAGTTATCTCCATTGGCAACTCTCTTTATTTTCTGATTTCAAACACGGTATACCTACTAATATATGATTCTTTCTCCACCCCATCTTAAGACCTTGTTTTACTTACAGTACTATGCTGATGACACTCAATTGTATGTTGGTGAGATGATTCCTCAACTTAAAATGAATCAATCAGAGTTTTCAACTTATTCATAATAATGGATTTGATAGTAACTATCTTTCTGGATCCTACAGTATATTAACATCCTATTTATTTTACCAGTGGTTGTACCCTGAACGTTATTGCACCACTCCATTCAATGCAAGAAATATCAAAATCTATGTGAATGTATGCTTCCAAGGGGCTGAATCTTTTCCTCTTTTCATGCTTTTTTTATCACAACTCTAAGGCAAAAATATCCACTATGCACACCTTATACTTCAACACTCAGACTGCCAGAAGTTGCCAAGCACAAACATTATCCCAAGTGGAGAAACACTAGGGATTGCATTGACCCCATGGCCTTTCCTTTAGTGCAAGCTTTAGGAGAACAATTCATTTTGCCCTCTAAGAGCAGCAGTAAGTGGTAACATTGAATACACAGGGTTAACTGTGAGCCGCAATGAAAATGCATGTCTGTAGGGCATTTGAAATGGTTACTTTAGATTTTGAGGTAAAGCACTGCATCTTAGAATCTGCCAAATGACCTAATTTAAAGGTCGAAGTCCCCGCAGGCAACATGCATCTCTTTCTGACATGTCTTCATGATGTATGGAGCTTGTCAATGTAAATGGAGTCATCAGGTTAAAAGACATGAGCCATAACTGTAAGATAAGATGTGACTAAGGACTTTTGACATGCTCTCATCTGTGAGACATCTATAGCCCTGAAGAAATAGATTCTCTAGTCATGTTCTCTTGCTTGAAAGCAGAATGTATCCTAACTGTAATTGGAGTCTGCAAATAAGTTGGAAAAAACTGACAACAAACACGTCTTGGACAATCACATCAAATATTATTTTCAAAATAAGTGCTGTGTTTATCATTTATTCAAGACCGTGAGCAAGACAACAATATGAACTACCACTACAATATATATCATATAATACCCATCACACCAACAAACCCTAACGCAAAACAATAATTGCTTTTTTCATCCATCCATCTGTTATCGAAATGATTGCAAGATTGCGACGAAAATCTTTATGTAAATGACGCTGACCCTCTTCTCACCTCAGCCATCGAGCGATGAGATGTGTGACGTGTGTGAGGTGTGGACAGCGGACGACTTGTACCCCTGCAGGATCTGCACTCGGATGTTTCATGACGGCTGCCTGAGGGAGCTGGGCTACCTGCGGGCCGAGGCTCTGCAGGAGATGAGAGACACGGCCCACACTGTCACCGGCTGGAGCTGCTACTATTGTGTAAGTCTGCACAGCTCACTGCCATTAAACTTGCTGGATGACAAATTCCCACAGGTCTTTATAAATGCAGATGCAAGGATGTAAAAACAAGAACAATGGTGGTTTTCGCGTTTAATTCGGGTGAACTTCACCTTGAGTTTTTCTCTCTTTTTGGTTTTACTGTTCTTTTGGTCACTCTTTCTTTTGTCTAGGCAGCAAACCTTATTCTTGTTTTCTGTTATTTTGTATACATACAGAATATGTTCCCTTGTCCAAATGTGGAATCTTTAATGATTTCATGAAATATAATTGGTGTCACTAATAAGATGAAGGCGACCAGTATTATCCTGATACTATAGAAAATGTACCAATGACAAGCTGGGCCTCAAGCCATACAATCAAAACATAAACCTGCATTCCAAAAAAAGAGAGTTTGATGGAAAGAAATGTAGGTACCACTTTACAATAAGACTACCCTTATAAAGGGTTTACAAATAGTTTGTAATTCATTTATTAATTAGGTTGTAAACACTTTATAAATGATTAATAAGCTTTTATAAGACATGAGATAAACAGGGCAACTGTCACCGGTTGCTTGCCAAATAGTGAGCCCACATATATCTGTACTGCTAAGTCTTATATTGGCTACCTAGTTTACTTCGTCTTCTTCATCAGCCAGCATCCTTGGTATCTGTTGTTCACTGAGTTGATTCTCGCTAAGTAGCCAATATAAGGCTTAGTCATCTTGCCAAATAGTGAGCCTGTGTTGATGTATGAAAACTACGTTAGAACTGGTTTGTAAATGGTTCTTAATGATTAATAAAGTGTTTACAAACTAATTAATAACCTAATTATAAACCCTTTATGAATCCTTTATGAGGGTAGTCTTATTGTAAAGTGGTCGCCCAGAATCTTTGGACCATGAAATAATCGTCCGGGATCCGATGATAGTACGTCCAAAAGTCAAATCCATACATCTTTCTTTGTGACGAAATGTTAGATAACTAGAAACTAAGAGTGACCAGCATCTCTGTCTCGCAGATCAATGAGATGCAAACAAGTACGGAGCATTCCCACTACAGCGCGGAGCTCGCTTTAAGCGTGCCGTGCCCGTTTTTGGTTGTGTTTCCACTCGGCGTAGCACCGGCTAGCGGGTACTATTTCACAGTTTTCTGGCCCCATGAAATCCAGGTTCTTTCCGGGCCAACAACCAGGCTGAGTCGGGCTGAGTCTAAACTAGAGAGAGAATCGCTGGCAAGGGGGCTACAACTACAACAAGATGAACATATCTGACCGTGATTTAATTTAATACACGTTTCTAAATGATGCCGAAGTAACAACATACTGATACCGGTTAGTAAAAACCATGAATTAAGGCTTTGACAAGTCTGCAGACAGACGGCAGGCAAACACTTTTTAAAATGCGTGTTTTCTGAATGGAGATTTGGCTAAGCTAACGTTGTAAATGCTCCGACCGTCCACACTCACAACAACGGCCTATACAGACATAAATAAACCAGCAACTGTATTCTCCATGACACAGACAGTCTGTGGTTTGGACTTGTTTAACTTCTGTCTAGTTTCTGAACAGATATGAGGAGCTGTGAGCTCTGAGGGCTAACAGCTAACGGCTGATGTTGGTTT